AAAAAAAAAAAAAAAAAAAAAAAAAAAAGCTGCTTAGTCAACATCAGTGTGATCCAGCTTTTATTATTATTCTGTTAAGATAAATTCTAGGAAAATCAAGGAGTTTACATACCACATTTTTAACATTAAGTGATCAGTTTATATAACCTTTAAAACAACACAGAGATTTTTATTCCAAAACTCGGAGTAAACAACCTAGAATTTTTTGGAAAGGTAGGTTTGGAAGCCATCTGGTTCTATTTCAATATGTGTCATTAACACCAGTTGTCAAGAAAGAGCTGTTAAATAAGTACAACATTCAAGAACAACAGTTTATTTTGTTATTTATTTATTTAATTTATTTATTGTCCTTCTCAGACAGGGTCTCGCTATGCAGTTCAGGCTGGCTTTGAGTTCACTTTGTAGCTCAGACTGGTCTCAAACTAGTAACAAGCCTCCTACCTCAGCCTGCCAAAGTACTGGGATTATATATGTATACTACCATGCCTGGCCCAAACATCATTTCTTAGTATGTCTCCGTCTTTTCCTTTTTTTGGTTTTTTTTTGAGAACCCCGCACTTCAGGCTGGCCTTGGACTCACTTTGTAGCCCAGAATGATTCTCGAACTCCCAACGATCCTCCTGCCTTGGCCTTCTAAGGGCTGAGGATGTGTAGAAGGCCAGAAATTTTAAGTGCTATCCTCAGAGTATGCTGATTAACACTAATATGTAAACACAGCTTGCCTCTGCAATTCATATACACATTTTGTTACTTCTATAAATGATACTTATTTTGCTGCTTTTAAGTGGTACAGCTTAAATTCACTTTCCTAAAGCCTCACCTCTGACAATCAAGTTATATGACTGTTCTCATAATAAAGTGCTTAGTTAATAAACTATCACATACAACTGTCCTTGCATTAATTCATCTGTATACATTTACTACAAGCTTCCCTCAACAAAGCTTTTAAAGCAGGGACTAACACAAAATGTCCCACATACATTAGCTAATGGCTCAAGGATAAAGGAGTAACTTATCAAACAGCAGCAAAGCGAAACTTAAAAGGATGTAGAAATAATATACTCAAGCTGGGAGCTACACCTGCACAATCGTAAAAAGGTACCAGACTATATCAATATTACCAGTGTGCCATCAAATTTCAAGAAAATATTCCTAAGAATTAAAATCACTGGCCAATTTGCAAAGAATTGAAAACAAATTTTTTATCCAGGCCTGGTGGCACACGCCTATGAGTCCCAATACTCAGGAGGCTGAGGCAAGAAGATCTTTTTGAGTTCAAGGCCAGCCTGCACTACATAGTAAGACACTGTAAATAAATAAACAAGTAAATCTTTTAAAAATCTACATACATTTACAGATAGAGGGGCTTCTAGTGTAAGTTCCTGGAATTCCAAGGGCTCATGTCACTAAATGTTGTCCATAATGAGCCTACCTCCCCACTATTTGTTGGTTTGCCAAGGTCAAGAATACACAATGATATCAACATTTTTTGAAACAAGGTCTCAGTATGTAGTGCAGGCTGGCCTTGAAATCACCGTGTAGCCCAGGCTGGCCTCAAATTCACAGAGATCCTCCTGCCTCAACCTCCTGTTGAGGTTGTGATTCCAATGGTGGAATCACAGGCGTGCACCACATTTGGCAATATTAAAATTCTGTTGTTCAATCTCAACACGGGCAGAGCACAGGCCCATTCGGTCTTGCCAATACTTGTTTTACTCATAACATTATTCAGTGCTTAACAAAACTTGGAACTCCTCACTCCAAAGACCTCACAGTCAAACATTACCTCATCAGGAGGTATCCTCCAACTCTGAAGTCTTTCTAAACAGAAAATGACTCATTGGATATACACATTGTATAAATGGATTAGAATGTCAAAATGAGCCTCTAAGCCTCTAAAATGTGAAGTCAGAGGTCCGAATCTGACAGAGTCAAACCTATCACTTACTAGGTGGCATTTTTTTTTTTAAAGAATTCCAACTTCCTCATGTGCCTGTTTCCTTGTACATAAAATGGATGCAAAACTACCAATACTTCAAACTGTTATAAGCTTTAATTCACTTTCAATTTAGATTTAACAAACACTTTACCAGAAAGTATACCTTTGCTAAAGACAATATAATGGAGACTTCTTTC